ATCAGCACCTGACAACCGAGATGCCATCCACCCTGGTTTAGGGTTTAGGGAACCCTTAGCCCTCAAAACACTAGTGGTAATATGTCTGCCAACCAAATTACATGTGTACGGATATGCAGCACGGGTGTCTCGTAATATGCCTACCCGCAGTGCCCCTGAAGTAGATTATATATGGGGTATATGGGGATCGTCTTATAATATTCCCAAAGCCATATTCTACCTACTTAAAGGATCTTAAGGGGCCGCCTAAGGGGCCTCTACCTAGTTCAGGAGGGAGTATCACACGATCAGGGGTCTTGTCCTTCTGTGTAGAGTATGGGCTTAGGGTCCCCATGTTGGCGGCATCCCTAAACCCTATTCCTTACACCCAAAACCCTGAACCCTAAACCCTGAACCCTAAATACTAAAACCATATTACCTGGATTTCGGGATCCTCTTTTTCAACAGATGCAAGGACTTCATCACTTCGAAAGTTGCCGCAGTGCTCTTCTGGGTTCTTACCATTGCGCACTGCACGGTCTACATGCTGGGGCCCGGGATGTTCCGGCGTTTTTTGACGTTTGTCATCTGGGTCTGGGTCACTGGCGCTCCCCTGGCAACCATGACCATCCTAGAAGTTGGCGTCCGGGTCACGGCTCAAGGGGGCCCCTTGTGGCTGGGTTGCTGTTAAGGAGCTTTATTTAAGTTACTATATTGGGAAACCCTATGACGCACTCTATGTATATCCATCATGGTAGCTTAATCTAAACTCCTTAACAGCAACCCAGGTGGAGGTGGCGGTCATGGCGGAGGATGATGATTCCTCTTTACCATCAACTGGAAGCAGTGGTGCTTGCAGTCATGGCCTTCCGGGGTGGCATGAGCATCTACTTGCTGAAGGTAGCTTTAGATGCCTCGGTTGTCATACCAGCCGCGGTGTCGGATCAAGACAAGGCCACAGTCCTCGTCCTCTGCATCTACCGTGCGCTGCGCACATGGGGCGACTGCCATGGTGTTTCGGTGCACCAGACTTTGCAGCAGAGACGTCGACGGGCCAAGATGAACAAGCTCTGGATGGATGAGTATCAGCATAGACTGGAGGAACACCGAGCGCGGCTAGCAGTGAGGATTCAGCACATGGTAGATACACGAGCTCCTCAGCTGTTCTTTCTTATGGCAACCCTGGCATACTGTTGGGCGGAGTTCTATGACTTTGTGCAAACCTCACGGGTCCTGGGATACGTGCTGCTGTTTGCATTCGGCTGTGAGTTTCTGATACGGACGAAGGCACAAGGGGGAGAGATCTTCTTCCGTCCCTTATTCAACAAATTGGAGTTCTGTATTCTGTCAGCGGGCACGTGGTGCTTATTCTATGCCTCCTGGTACACGCAATACCTGGCAGCATCAAAGGATGAGGCCACTGCAGTGGCAACTGCCACGGCAGTACTCCTCCTGCTACACCGCTGCATTCGCATGCTTGGCATCCAGCTGAAGGCATGTCTGGGACGGGGGCACAGTCACATACCGCTGCATAGCAAGCTATGTTTGGTAATTTCTAGGAATTGCCCCTATATGTTTCCTATGGGTGACGCAAATCATTTTTGTATGGTACCTAGAACAGTACACCCAGGGGATCCTTCAGGGTATCCCCACTTTGGGAAGCCTGATTGGAGCTTCATACTCAGGTAGGCGTTGCTGCACTCGCCCAAGTCATGTTCATGTAATATCCCATCGTCCATCAGAATTTGCTCCTACTACAGGTGACGCTACTGTTTCCTAAGCTGACTACTTCATGCAAGGGTCCAAAGCCTGAACTGGCTGAAGCTCTCCAAATCTGCTCCAAAAGCGAGAGAGAGCTTGGATCCAGCACCAGATTGTCATAAGGGCTGTATTTTCAGCAGAAAAAATCCATTCAAACATGGCTTCATATGATCTAGCTGTAAATTCTAAGACATATTTCAGGCTTCAACCAAAGCTGTCAAAAATGGCAAAACCTATCTGCTCCGGAAAGTTCAAGAGCTGCGCCAGATTCTTGCTCAAAACCTACAACCCTGTACCCCATACCTCGAAGCCTAAGCCATTAGGGTTTAGGGTTTAGGGATAATGGAAAAGAAAACAAAAACTACTATTTAGGGTTTAGTGTTTAGGCTTTAGCCCTACCTGGACTTCATGAAGCCCATCTTCTGATTCCGAGTGTCCCGCCAGCCATTTTATTTGTGTGTTATTTGCTCCTGAAATGTAAGCCTCCATGTGGTCTAGGTAGACCCCAAACCCCCAAACCTAAGCCCTATTCTTTCTGAATGTGATAGGTGACATTTTTAAGGTAGTTATACCTGAATCTAACATGGGTTAGAGCTGATCTGTTTTCAAAGTAGCTCAACACTACTCAAGAAACCCTACGCCCTTGCTTTGCCCAGCCTCTTTCTCTCGCCTTTCCCTCAACCCTAACCCCGAACCCGCAGGTGTCTGCAAGTGAGTTTGATGTTGACAGCGTCATGAATGCCAAGGCCGCGTTGGAGTGGATGAATGATTTATATAGAATGTATAGGGGTTTTATATAGGGATGTATAGGGTTTTTAAGGGATTTATGTAGGGTTTTAAGGGTTTTTTGTTTTAGGGCTAGCTTTTAGGTATTGAGGCTACGATGGAGCGCGAGGGTTTCGGATTTTTGGCTTTCGAAGCACAACCTTTTTGCGTTGCTGGCGCCCTTGGTCTATGGATGTTTAGGGTTTAGGGTTTTAGAGTTTAGGGTAATTAAGGCTTGGATGGAAGCTCTGGGCAACCCCCAAAAGGCTAGGATGCTTCGCATGACAATTCCTTACAGCAGGTCAAGAGGCGCCTCCCAAAGATTTGGGGGTTTCCCAAAATTAGGGGTACAATTTTGGGGGTCCCTATAAGAAGGCTCATAGTTTTTTCGGGTCTACATATTGGGCTCCCCCTGTTTAGGGAAGCTACAACTTAGTGCATCCCGCCAGGCCGTGCAGATCTTCATGGCTAAGTTTGGCACTATGGTGGATGTACCGCCCACAAACGTCAAGGTGGACTTGCCGGGTTCCATGGTGCACATCCAGTTTCCTGGCCTGAACTTTAGGGTGAACCCTAAACCCTAAGGACTTAGGGTTTAGAGTTTAGGGGAGTGCTTCGTCTGATGAGGGGGTAAGAGGGACCCCTGTCGAAATTTCCAACATTCTTGCACTCGGCACACTGCAATCCTTATCGTGGGGGCCCTTTGAGTAAGACCCCTACCTCTTAGCAGCTGAGTCGGTAACCTGTAAGTGTTCGGCGCCTGTATAATCCAACGGTGTTTTGAAGGTTAACCTTTTTGGGGGAAGGGAACTCAGCAATTAGGATGTTTTTGGAAACCTCGATAGAGAACCCTTATAGACTCTCAAAGTGAGCTTTCCTGAGCCCTTAACCCTAAACAACCCTAAACCCTAGACCCTCAACCCTAAAGCCCAAACCCCAAACCCTGAAAAAAAACACTCAACCCAGTGCCGATTTGGGCAGGCACTAAAAGCTGGCTTCAAAAAAGCCTTCAACCCTAAGCTTAAACCCTCAACCCTAAACCTCAGACCCTAAACCCCCAAAGCCTAAACCCCTAAACCCTAAACCCTAAACCCTAAACCCTAATCGAGGAAAGCCAGCCTCAAGAGCGAAGCCTTTGAGCAGCTACATCTGCCGGTGACGGTCACTTGGGTCGCTGCCAAGATGAAGGTTTTGGGGTTTAGGGTCCAGGTCTTGAGGGTTAGGGTTATATATGGGTGGTTGTCAGAATTATGGTCCTTTTTTGGATCCCTGTTATAATACGGCACCTAATATTCAGGGTGCCCAAAAAGGGACCATAACTTTGACAACCACCCATATAGGGATATCTAGGGGTATTTCTCGTCATGTAAAGGCAGATAAAAGGCTCTCAATAAATACTTGGAGGGTCAGGGGGGTTTAGTAAGTAGAGAGAGAGAGGTAGGGTTTAGGGCTCAGGGTGTGGGATCAGGGGGTGCTTAGTAAGTTTTTTATAAACTTCTCACCCCAATAACCTGTCTAGTACCCCAGTTATCCCATTATTAGCCTTCTTTCTATCTCCCCGTGACCCCCCAAGTAGAGGGCTATGTAGGGATATCTAAAGTGTATAAGGTTATGTAAGGGAATATTGGGATGTATAGAGTTTGGAGTTTCCGGAAATTAGGGGCTCCGCTTTAGGAGGTCACTGCAGTGCATTGGGGTCTGTATTGGTCCACTCTTATTTGGAAACCTCCACAAGAGCTTCGGGTTAGCGTTGCTAGGTGATCATAAGCGCTCTGAAGTTTGATGTCAAAATAAGTTAAGCTGTGGCTTCTTGCAGATGACGCGTTTTCCTGGTGGACCCAGAGGACGGCACATTCTCTCGCATTCTGTCTCGTCAGACTCAGGAGCTGGCGAAAAGCAGTAAGCATATGTGGGCCATCAGCCAACCGTGTGGATTGAACGCATGCCTGCTGAAGCAAATGCTAACTGTCTCTAAGCAAACAGGTGCACGCCAATACTAGGTAGGGAAAAACCCAAACATGGCCAGGCAATATCCTAGCGTCCTTTGTCAGTATGGATGGCATTATTGTTTCGTAGCATACATGCCTAGTTCCTATAAGAGCTGTGAGGTGACAGGAGGTCTCATCGAAGATCTCTTCATAGACTTCTTCAGTGCAGACACCACGAAGGAGCCGCTGAAAGGGGCTTGAGATTCGGTATCCTTTTTGTAAGAAGCTTCCACATGTGAGGTGCCATCCGGAGCTATTTGCCTTTGGCAAGATTCATACAAAACGGAACCCCTAGTGACCACAAAAAATGGTAGTTGGAGTGGGTTCCTATCTGTGTTCCTATTCTACAATTATGTATGCATTCCAGGGGTGAGGCAAGCACTTAGCTTCTGTCACCCGCCACCCGGCAGAGTATTCAAGGGGCCTTGTTCTTTGACGTAGGACAGTACTGAGGGATCCCTCACATCCCATGTGAATCAAAGCCTAGATCGCATGCGTGTGTGCAAGTTGCCACTGCAGCTCCTGCTACTTCTGCTATGTGCTGCAGCAGGAGTAGTAGTAGTAGTAGTAGTAGTAGTCGTAGTAGTAGGAGTAGGAGGAGGAGGAGGACGATAGTTTTGCTACTAGTAATGCTTGACGATCATGATGTTGCTGCGATCAGTATTCTTTCCCAAAAATTGGGGCTTGTTTCTATCCTCGTAGACCTAATTCATGCTTGCCACCCTCCCATGGAGTTCCTGGTCCTAAGCCCAAAACTGTGTTAACAAATCCCCAAACTGAAATGAGGAGTTCGGAAGGCCGCTAGCCTTTGCTCCGCGTGTTCGGGGCCGGACAAAGATCCGCGGCCTACCTCAACTATACACCTCTCGCTAGTAACCGCTAGTCAAGATCCGCCCAATGGATTTTTGGTTGTATACACGAATTCTATTGGACATCTCTTTCATTGAGGTTTGGGAGTAACACATTTTGGCAAATTAAGGTTTTGCTTAGCTCACAAGGGCGTTGTTGCCAAGCTTGTGCGCTCATGCTATGTGTTGCGCAGCCATCTTGAGAAGCAATCTTCTTGGGCTGATGAGGAAGTGGTGGAATTGATATACGCACTTCAATAGGCTTGTCTTGGGCATTTTTTACAGGTAGTTTTTGAGATCCACTATTCCACTCCCCCTTGAGCACCAGTACATGGTGTGCCGTGTCTTGAGCATTCAGCTTGAACAGTGACTAGTTCCCATAATTTTTACTTTCATAGCCCGGAGTGAAAAAACGGGGGCTATTCCCTAGACCTGAAACCCAATAGCATTGCTAGACTCTTAGATTCAAGGGTTTTGCTGTATAGGGTTCAGGGTTGCTAGGCCAAGCTATGAGTAGCTAGAAGGGACATGATCCCCTGATCCCTTTTTATGCCCAAAGGCTTCAGGAACCCCAAAAAACCCAGAACGCCCCAGCCGTAAACAAATTTCACCTCGACCCAAGCTTAGGAGCCCTAAACCCTAAACCGTATTAATCCCCATGTACCCCCAATAGCTTCGAGGGGAACCTGTTTAAGGAACCCAGACCTCATAGCCTTGCTTGAATGACGGGGATTTTAGTTACTTCGGCCGCCAAAAGAAGGACCCTATGACGAACATATGGGCTATGGTCTAAACTCCTTAAAGGGGATTATATTGGGATTTTTGTAGGGGTTGTTCAGTTTGGACTGTGGCACGTATGACCCTTGGGGTTACCCAAATCTTTCATGAGCCGCTGTATATACCAGTTTCCATGCCATTGTCCATCTGCTTTTGCGATTCATTCTCCATGTTATTCCTTGGGGGTTGCTAAATTCGCTTTCCTTACACTCCCATAAAAGCATATGTAATCTTGAGATGCTCCTTAGCTGTAGGCTCCCGCATGCCATCTCCTAAGGATATTTCAGATGATAGTTTCCCTCCTAGTCCCCCCATAGAAGCCTTACGTACGCCTTGTCTAAGGTTCCCGACACCTGGTACCCTTTGCCCTGGAAATTTGCTAAGACCACAAACGCTGTTTAGGAGTTTAGGTTTTAGGGGTGTAGGGGTTTAGGCTTTATGGGTTTAGTGGTTTAGGGCTTAGGAGTTTAAGGGGTCAGGGGTTTAGTAAGGGTTGAGGGGTGTAGGGTTGAGGGTTTAGGTTTTAGGGTTTTAGGGTTTCCAAACCGAGGCATCAAGAATATGCTGCTGCTCTTGGGACCGGGTCCTGGCCTGGCGGAGGCAGGCGAAAAAGAGCCTGGCAGCTCCTTGGATGTGGGCTAACCCCAAGGGTCCATGTACCCAATAATTGGGTACTTGGGGATTTGCTAATAGGAATTGTAGCACAGGTTTTGGGTAAGTATATGATTATTGGGTACTTGGACCCTTAAGGTATAGTCTAAACTCCTATAGGGTTTAGGGTTTTCTAAACTCCCTTAAAGGGGGTTATATAGGGGAGTATTGCAGGGCTGTCACGGGGGATACTGAGAGTTTAGACTATAGCTCATGTGGGTTTGTGCATCCGAGTTTGCTGATGATAAGAGATCTTGGTAACCCCAACTTCCGACACATGGGTCCTTTATGAGAAATATGATAGTCAGTTTTTTGGGGTGAGGTTACCGAAGTCATCCGAAATCCTTCGACTAGCCAAAGAGAGTGTGGTTCAACCGTAAACCCCTCATCCCGAAACCCTAAACCGGATGAGGTTACTGGCAGTATGACAGTGTGCTGGCAGCCAAGCAGAACGTGGTGGACCTGACGCTGGACTTGTTGGTTGTTAGCAGCGGACGAAAGAAAGGAAATGAACATGGAAACTACCATGTAGGGCTTAGGGCTTAGTCCTTTATTGTGCTGGGGTCTTCAGAACCTTGGTGTAATCAGAAGTGTACCTTTGTTTGACCTTCAGCCCTCAACACAGGGAACTCGGCAGTTCAAGGTTTGTTAAGAGAAGTTCTATCAAACGTCATATGGCATGGACAGTACGCCTGCGAGTATGACCCGCCATTTGCAATGTAGGAGAAGTGATAGCCCCCCTTAGGTAGATAGAATATGAGGTATATGGGGGTTTTAATTTTGTATACCCAAAGCCAGATTCCATCTACTTGTGGGGGACTATAACCCTAACCCTGAACCCCAATCAAGGAGTTGCTGCAGGGCTAATCTGCTGCAACCCCAACGCCCCTAGCGAATTTCTACATGATAGGGGCCAAATTAAGTCAGGGTTTCGGGTTCAATGGTCTAGGGTGCGGGGGGCTTAGGGTTAGGGGTTTAGGGTTTAGGGTTCAGGGTTTAGGGGCTTAGGGTTTAGGGGTTTAGGGGTACCCTAAACCCTAAACCTAGGGGTACTATGGCTCTAGGTTCCTTGTATTCGGTCTCGTGTATAAGGTCCCGATTATTGAGGCCACTGTGTATGCTGTTGCAGGCGAGGCGAGAGGAAAACAAAAACAAGGGTTTAGGGTTTAGGGAAGCATAAAACCCTAGACCCCAAACCCCTAAACCCTACACCCTTCAGTGCCCAAAGCCCTACAAGCTCCAGAGCTACCTAAGCCCTAAACCCCTCCAACCTTACGCCCTAAACCCTGAACTCCAAACCCTAAGTCCTACACCCTAAGCCCTAGACCCGGAACTCTAAACCCTAAACCCTAAGCCCTCAACCCGGAACTCTAAACCCTAAACCCTAAGTCCTAAACGCTAAGCGCTGAACGCGAAACCCTAAACTCTAAGTCCTAAACGCTAAGCCCTGAACTCTAAACCCTAAACCCTATAGTCCTACACCCTAAACTGCGCCCCGAATTGCCAAGGATCTGCCAGCGGCTGACAGTACCTGGCCCAATGTTAGGGATCCTTCACACTTTTTGGGGTATGGGATTCCTTATACCCATGTAAAAGGATCCCTTTTCTTCCTAAACCCTAAACCCTACATAGTAGTTTCCATTTTCTTTTCCATTATCCCTATATAACCCCTATATAATCCGTGTGGGCTAAGGTACCATTCCCTACCGCGCCCGACCCCTCCGTCGTCTCGGCTGACTCCCTAGGATTCCCGGCTGGCAAGATTTGGGGTTGAGGGCTTAGGCTTGGGGACTTACATTACCTAGGGCTTAGAGCATAAGATTTGGGAGTTATTTAATTCAGGGTTTAGGATTGAGGGTTTAGGGCTTAGGATTTAACAGTTTACTATTTAGGGTTTAGAATTCAGGGTTTAGGGTTTAGGTTGCGGGCAAGTTGGGCTGGTACCTGAGACCCACTGCAGAAAGGGTTTAGGTTGTAAAAAGGGTTTAGGATCTAAGGTTTAGGGTTTGAGGGATTCGCGGGTTGGTGCTCAAGTCCAAGGTTGGAAGTAGGAGCTCTAAAGATAGGCCGGGCGCTCTTACGGGTACTATGACTTAACCCTAAACCCTAACCCCTGAAACCCTAATCCCGGAAACCCTAAACCCCTAAACCCGAAACCCCTAAACCCCTGAACCCCTAAACTCCAATCCCCCAAACCCTGAGAGGCATATGGTTTTATCTTAGGGGTTTGGGAGCCTCAGAGCTTTCCAGGTGGGAATGTAGGACAGAGGGCTCATAGAACCCTAAACCGTAAACCCTATAGGGTTTAGGGGTTTTGAAGGGTTTAGGGTCTAGGGTTTAGGGGGTTTTTAATTGACGGTTTAGGGTTCAGGGTTAAGGGTTTATAAGGCCGGAATCGACTCAGCAGTTGTTATGGTCCGAAGGATGACATAGATTTCATAGGAGGTGAGACAACATGGAAGCTATCAACGTATTCCCCGTACATTTCCCTGTATGGGCCCATAATATGAGCTGTAGTCAAACTCCTTAAACGGGGTTATATAGGGAATTATATAGGGGACTGTTATAGGGCTTATGCAGGGGATATTTTGAGTTTAGACTATGGCTCCTTTCTACCTCAAAAGTCGGCAGGCTCCCATTTCAAGAGTCTTCATTTGCTTCTGTTTAGGTCCCCTGTATGCCCTGAAAGGATACTTGGCTTTGCCATGAAATCGCTAGGGGTTTAGGGGCTTAGGGTTTAGGCCTAAACCCTAAACCCCAAGCAGTTTAGGGTTTAGGTTTTAGGTGTTTAGAGGGGCTCAAAGGTTGGACGGTTCTGAAGCCTCCACGGGTTGGACGGCTTCTCGTTTTGTGTGTTTAGAGTATAGGGTTTAGGGTTTAGAGGTGTGTTTCTGAAACTGGAATAACTAGCTGTTGGTGAGCGCCGAAAAGTGCAACTCTTCACCTAGGCCCACATCTTCACATCTGAAACCCTCAGGCCCCAAACCCTGAAGCCCCAGAACTTCTCGACCCCAAAGCCTTTAAGCCTGACACCGCCAACTTAAAATCCTAAACTCTCAAAACCTTAGACTCTGGAAGCCATGAACGCTTAACACTCAACCCCTGAATCCTCAAACCTCTAAACCCCCAAGCCCCAAAATCCTTCAACTTCTGAACTTTGAAATGAACCCTCCAAAGCGTACTGGCCTAAACAAGTTCCAAAAAATTAGTTCTGGATTCATTGCATACTTATGGTAGTGGCTACCTAAACAGGCCCGGGAACATGGTTGTTAATTATCCAGGCCCCCTATACTATACCCACGCATAAGTGCCTAAGCCCCTAAACCTTAAATCCTAAACCCTAAGCCCTTCATCCTAAACCCTAAACCCTTAATCCTAAACCCTAAACCATGAATCCTAAACCCTTAATCCTAAACCCCCAAACCCTTAATCCTAAACCCTAAAGCCGAAAACATGAGGATCGAGGCCGAGAAAAACCTTCCGTCAGATGGGACAGCACCTCATCAAAGGCCAGCCAAAACGGGAAGGGTTTAGGGTTTAGGGTTTAGGGTGGGGGTTTCTCTGAAAATCATGGGCTCCTTTGTCGGGGGCCATGAGGAATATATAGGGCTGTATAGCAGGATTTGGAGTATTTAGGGGGGTTTGGGGGGTTCAGCGGATTCATCATTAAAGCTTCAGTGCAGGCTATAAGCAAGATGCACAATCAATAATGGCAGGAGGTACCATCATCATTACTAACGTGTGTGCCTCATGATTTCATCCCAATGTTTATTTCTCGTGCAGGACTCCGGGTGTCGAGGGGATTAGGTTTCTAGGAAGCCGTGGTCATTTACATTACGCGAAAATTTCCTAGAGTTAAAAAAGCGGTGCTTTTTTGGAAGAGGCCTATGTGTATGTGGTTCCATTCTAGCTTCGGAGGGGGTAGGAAGGTCTCACGGAGGCTGGTGCCAGAATTGTTGGCTGATGCGGCTTCGCCGCAGTTGGAGTTCTTTGGCTCTTTATTTCCAAGGTTTGCGCTAGTCCTCATTTTGTGAGGTTCTTGGGAACCGAATTGCAACGGGCTAAGCTAAAGGGATATAGTATATTTTCAACTCCAGCGTCCCTCAAAGTACTCACCCCTAATCCCTAAAACCCAACCCCGGAATCGCTGAACCTTGCCAGGCGCAAAGTACAAGGTGGGTACCGCCGTTGCGCAGGGATTTCGCAGGCTGAGGATGGCCCTGCAAGACAGCTCGGTTCGGCATGTGGAGACCCGGTGAGGATTTAGGGTTGAGGGTTTGGGATTTAGGGTTTGGCCGATTCGGCATTTTTTGCAAAGCCCTGACTACGCTGAGCTTCGTGCTAGTTGAGGAGTATTTATTTGAAGGTCTCCAGTCTTAAGACATGGGAATTTCTGGAAATCAGCCTCATATCATCCTTGACAGGAACCCAATCAATCCTTATATATCCCTAGGGTATCCTGGGCCCCCTTTTCTAAGAAACACTCAAGCACTCACCCTCCTTGTTGATAGTGAGCAAACGCAGTGTCGTGCCTCAAACAGGTTGATCCTGCACAGTTTTGGGCTTAGGGCCTTAGGTTAAGATTCAGGGTCTAGGGAAAGATTGAGGGTTCAGCGTAAGATTTCGGGTCTAGGTTTGAGCGGGTTGGGTCTCTAGATCTTTTGGACTGCATTGGCATCCTGACAGCCGGCAGAAAAATCATGACCAACATTTTGATCATGGTTTATGTTGCTAAATTGTGGATGCTAGTAGGCCAGTGCTTCACTCACTAAGACGGATCCTTCGATTGACAGTCTCAGTCTCCGCAACAAGCAACCGCGGTTTCCAGAAAGCTTCCATGGCGCTGGCCAGTGCTACGCAGGAGTCTAGAAAACCCTAAGCCCTAAACCCTTTAAGCGCGTGGCTTTGAAGCCGAAGCTGACGCTTTCAGCTACTGAGCTTACCTTTTGGAGGAGCATTGTGGTTAGTTGCCTAAACTAGGGTCCCATTTTGGTACCTCTAAATATTAGGTGCCGTTATAGAATCCATTCCCGGAAGGGGCAAATAAATATTGGGATCACCCCAAGTACCTGCACGGAGAACCCAAGGCTAGGAGTTTAGACCATAGCTCTTGTGTTGATGTCCGACACCTGGACCCTGTGTAGGCCGAAGGCCTAAATCCCACCCCCGAGCCCCGAACCTCAGCATTTAGCTGTTTGCAAGCTCTAGATTCTAAACCCGATCCCAGGACATGCATGTGCACAACGCAATGGTGCAGTTCGAGGACCAACCCTAAACCCTAAACCCTAAACCCTAAACCCTAAACCCTAAGCCCTAAACCCTAAGCCCTAAACCCTAAACCCTAAACCCTAAACCCAGTTTGAGGACCATGAAGGTTTGCTGGGCCATGGCTGCCTGAATTTGGGCATGAAGGCGGGATTAGGGTGTAGGATTTAGGGTTTAGGGTTTAGGGGGATTGCCTTGGGGTTCGGAAGCACTTGGAGGCCCACGTTGCTGATATTGAATATGTCCCCCAATTAAGGGGAGCATTTACGTCACATTGGGGTTAGGGAGTGTCTAACATAGTAGCCCAGTGGCAAGAAAGGAATTACCTTGGGCCTCTAAGAAGCCAAAAACTTTGCGATTGCAAGTTGGTGTTTGGATTGATGGTTCCTTTCCCGCACAAAAGCTTATATCTAAGGGTATGTACGGCACGGGAAAACAAACGGAAATTCATGTGCTATTTAGGGGCTAGGGTTTGGGAGAGTATCGCTTCGTGTTTGGAGCTTTCGGGCAGGCCTTTCTTCCTTGCCGGTAATTAGTGGGATACAATAGAGAATGCCGACTGCAATGCAATTTAGGGCTCAGGGTTTCGGTACTGTTCATCAGTTCCCATTTTCAGCCCCCGTAGGAACCATGGCGCTGTTTTAGGTAAGAGGAGAAGCCCTAAACCTTAAACCCTAAACCGCGTGGTTTATGGTGTAGGACTGGTTGTCAGCAGGGTTTTTAATGGGTTGTCAGGCAGGGCTATTATCTGAGGGGAATATCCTGAAACAAAGGATTAGGAAAAGGATTGCTTTGTCGATTCGCTACTTACCACGAGAATGTTTTCATGGACTTCTCCAAGAAAGAAAGGCACTGCTAGCTCACTCCTGTCGGCCTGAAGGAGAGCAACAGTGTCGCTTCAGCAGACGCTGCATGCAGATGTCTCAAGCTATTGCTGATGCGGAAAGTACTGCATGACCTTACTATACTGCATTATCATAACTCTCAATGTGCTAGGTATGTTCAATATAACCCCAATATAAACCCAAATATAATCCCAATGTAACCCGAATATAACCCCTAATATAACCCCCAATATAACCCCCAACATGCAATGGTTTAAGTGTCATTTAAGTCCATTAAATCAATATATCCCCCCAGTTTCCATTTCATTTTCCATTTTCTTTTCCATTTGATTCTCCATTATAGGGGGATAATCCCCTAATTTAAGTTCCTTAACAGCAACCCAGCTGTAACCCTAAACCCTAAACCCTAATTGTTTAGTGTCAGCAATAGCGGCCTACGTGTTGGAGTCCTCTGGGGCGACGCCTGGTTTCCTTCCCTCCTGGGTGGTTGTAGAAATTACGGTCTCTTTCTTGAGGCCCCATTGGGGTGATATTGGGGTTGTAGTACGGTTATATTAGGGTTATGTTAGGGTTATATTGGGGTGATATTGGGGTGCTATTGGGGTTATATTGGGGTAATATTGGGCTTTTATTCCCCTTATAAAACAACGGCTATAGTACTGCGGGTACCCCACAAGCGCCCTCAGTGTAAAGAAGCTTCCCAATAAAGGCTCACATGCTTCCCCCAGATCACATGATTGCTTCCTTGAAGGACCAAGACAAACAGCTAGCTTGATAGCTTCCACATGAGGGGGAGGGCAGGCTGCATGGAGAGCGACGCTGCGGCCGTGAGGGAGCATTTGAAGCCAGTTCTTCAGTGCAGCACCTATAGTAGAATATGGCTTTGGGTATATCTTAGTAAGATCCCAATATACTCCATATTCTATCTACTTAAGGGGGACAATAAACCCTAAACCCTAAACAGTCCTCCTCACGGGTTCTCCGGGTTCCTTGTCAAGAGGTGGACTCTTTGAAGCTTCACCGTCACCAAGGGCGCCACTTCAGCGCACAGCTCGCGCGTTGCTGGGCTTCTGTTAAGGAACTTCGGTTGAGGTGCCAGAAACATAGGTGTATGTAAGTAACAGTGGCGCTTCCTTGTTCTGATAACTTGGTCGTGTGGTCCCCAACTCCCTACCGTTCAGTAGCAAGTACCCCCTAGATGGTCGGTATAGCATGTAAAGTTGTAGGTAGTTGGGGCTACAGGTACTCTGTAAGCCTTGATGCCGCTAATCCCTCACATAATTTAGGTTTAGGATTTGGGTTTAGGGGCGGTTTAGGGTTTAGGGTTGGTGCCGCTGAACCCCCATAGCCATATCATTCAAGCTTCCATTTTTCCATGTGATTCTCCATTCTTCCTCAGGTAGGCTTAGAGGGGGCAGCTTCATGCCTGATTGCTAAGAAGTCCTTGATGACGGTTTCAGATAAGTTGCCATAATCCGCAACCCAAAACCCCAAGGCCTAAACATAAACCCTACACCCTAAGCCGAAAACCCTCAACCCTACACCCAACCCTAAATCCTAAGCCTTCAACCCTAAACCTTACACATTAAGCCCTAGACCTCAAACCCAAAACCTTAAATCCTAAACCCTAAACCCCAAAGCCTAAAGCCTAAACCCTAATGTAAACCCCTGATTAATAAACCTCCTCCTCTTAGTAGTTATAATCGGGATCCTAATATTTAGGCGTTTAAAAGGAGGGGGGGGTATTAATCATGGGTCTACATTCAGCCTACACCCTAAATCCTAAACCTTAAACCCCTAGACCCTAAACTCTAAACCCTACACCCAGCAACTGAGGCTGGTCCGTCTACGCGGAGCCATTTGCCGCGGCAGATGCGACCCTCGGTGCTGGTTGTTTGCGGTTGACGGTTTGGGGTGCATGGTTTAGGATTTGGGGTTTAGGGTTTAGGATTTGGGGTTGAGGGTTTAGGTTTTAAGATTTAGGGTTGAGGGTTCAGGGTTTAGGGTGTCGGGTTTAGAATTTAGGGTTTAGGGTGCATAGGGTGCAGGCTCTAGGATTTGGGGCTTAGGGTGCAGGGTGTATGATTTAGGGTTGAGGGTTTAGTGTGATTGAGGGTTTTTGGGTTTAGGTGGATAGGTGCGAGCTGTTGGGGGCCTAAGTGGGGTTATGGGATATTATCCCATTAATGATTAGGGACTACTGTGATGTTTTGGATTAAGGGTTTAGGGTGTTAAGGGTTGAGGGCAATCAAAAGGAAAACAAAACGGACAATGGAATTAGCACCGCGAGGATATAGGGGTTGATAGGGATGATTGCCTTTATTACCGTCCTATGTTCCGGCATAACTACCTCAGAAAAACCTCAGCATGATCCAGTGGAGGGTCTGTGGATTCAAGATCGCGTTTGAGCGTGAGAACCGCAGATGTCCCGCTCCAGCCCACTATAGTTTAATGAAGGAGCATACCTTCAATCACATTCGGGCTCCTAGTGATTTAAGTCATATTCCTTTATCAAGCCATATTAGGCTCTGTGGGTCTCAGGAGTAGGCGAACGTCCATGTCGGGATGGAAGCCCAACCGGACTGTCAAGAAGATGGTTCGGCTGAACGCTGCGGAGCGATTTCGCTATTGGGCTTTTGCGAACATGGAGGAGACTGAGGGTTTAGGGTTTAGGATTTAGGGAACCGGATTCAGGTATACGGGTAGTCCGTGAAATTCAATCCCTATAATCAACTACAGAATCCTAGTTTCCATGTTCTTCTCCATTTGATTCTCCGCTCTTCTGCAGGCAGGGCTTAGGGATTAAAGCCCTAGACCCTAAACTTAGTTTAGGGCTATCAGGTTAGTAGCCTTTGCTTCAAAAGGAGGACCGTACATGTATCGCAAGGTGGGTGGTTGTTCCCAAGGTCCCCGTCAATAAGCGCCGTTGTGGAATTCACTTTCTTTTGGGAGATCCCAACCAAAAAGACTGCCTACCTTAAGACGATTTAATTTTAGGGTTTAGGATGTATGTTGAACAGTTACCGAAAAACAAGTTTTCGGAATATTCAACTTCGCCCTGATGAAGCCTCTAGAATTCTGCGAGGCTGAATAGACTGATCCCCTGTACTTCTCGGGTTAAGAGGTGATTTGGGTCATTGAGGATTTCTAGTATCAATCGAAACTGTGTGGCATTCAGGGAAGTTTGAGCTAAGAAACTTATGCCCGGGCCTCCAAAGATTCTGAGCAAGAACCTAACTCTAGACTGCTGCCTCTGTGTAGCTTCGAAGATCATGTTTTTAACTTGGACCATCGAATAGGACGGCGGAATCGAGAACTGAGTAACCAGTCATCTTGCCCTAAACCCTAAACCCTAAACCCTATGCCTTGTCATTGTCCCCTGAACGCGGTGTACCACTACGACCTGTAGGCATATCTTTGAGGTTCCCCTAACCCCCCCATACTACCTGCAAGCTTACCGTTAAGTTGCATTGACTTGCACCAATTCAGCACATTTAAGGGAGAACCTAGAGAGATACCACAGAGGGGGGGGGTGTTAGGAGAACCCATGAATCCAAAGCGCTAAAGCCTAAACGCTAAACCCTAAAACCTGAATCCAGTGGAGGAAGAGGACCCACTGGATGCAATGGCATTGCTAAAACGCATTGAGCGATTTCCAGAGAGGCACAACATCCTCACGGCGCCTCTATGCACTGGGGCAGATTTTCTACAGAACTGTACAGATAGAATATATGTATCTGTGTGCATCTCCCACACGTAGAGTGGTTTGCACAGCCTACGAGGGGTGGGGGGCTTTGGAAAGATTGTATGGAGTGTAGGCGGCAAGAAGACAGATGAAGGCAGGCAGAAGTGGTGTCACACAACTCTTACGTACTGCCTTGGATAGGTTTCTGTCATAGCTGGGAATTTCCCAAAATCAGGGGTACCTTTTAAGGATCCTTAGAATGCAGGATAATTCTCCCCCTAATAATTGAAACTAGAAGTTCAAAGCTAGGAATTTGCAGGTGGTACTTTTCAGATGCTAGTGCTCTTCACTTCGTCGGCCAGGCTCCTTCATCATCCCTGCATGACCCGCTTGTTCTCTCAAATGTGCCCCACAAGGATGAAGCTTTCCGAACATGGGGCCCCCTTCCTCCGAATCTCCCTCATCTTCGCAGATCATGGTAGTTTTTCCAAACTAGGGGAACCCAATAAAGACCCCAAACAATAACAATCCTAACACTAGGTACCCCCGAAACTACCCCTCAACCCTATATATATATATGTATACAACCTCTACATCCCCCTTCAAAGGTACCCTTACAGCCCTAAAGCCTAAACCCTAAACCTTAAACCCGAAACCCTAAACCTTCAACCCTAAACCATTCACGGAAACCTACCAAATGACCCAGGTGCAGCAGGTGATCGTACGTGGCAGTCCTGCAGAAGGTCCCAAGACCGAGGAGTCTCCAACGCTTTAGGGTTTGGGGTTTAGGGTCTAGGGTTTAAGCCTAGGTTAGGGTTTAGGGTTTAAGGTTAAGGGTTAAGGGTGCAAGGTCTAAGGTTTAGGGTTAGGTTTAGGGTTCGGGGCTTTTGGGCAGGGATTCATGTCACGTCTAGTTTCCATAAATAGGGAACGTCGTAGATATAGACCCCAAAAGTATCCAAGAGTATTATAGCTCTTAATAACAGGACCATCAAAATAAAAGGGATCCGTACTTTTCGGAAAGCCTGTGTAGGCTCATCATTTTTACAGGATCCACTTCTGCATCTCAAGCGTCTTAGGCCCTGGATATAGGGCTGAAGGTTTACACTCCCACACACTAGCATGGAAACCCCAAGCGGGTTTTATGAAGACTAGCCGAGAAAGCGGGCTCTACAGACGTCCATGAAAGCTTGGAGGTTGAGGTGTTCAGAGTTTTTTGGGGGTGTAAGGCTTTAGGAAGAAGGTTTGGGATGAGGCGTTTCAGCACCATCAGGTTAGGCTGCTTTTGTGGTTGGAGTGTCTCTTTGACTAGAAGCTTGTGTGCGTATAGGCCTCTAAACCTTGGACGGCCGCTCCTGCTTTTAGTATTCCTTGGGTACTGCCCCCCC